AAGATGACAATCTTAAACAATAATGAGTCTTTATAGCTGATGGCAGTTTTGGAACCAGAAACTTCAAAAGCATTTGGATATTCTAATGAATTTTTTGAAAAAGGACTATTGCTCCAACATCAGCTCAGAATTGGTCTCACTTCATAGCAAGAACAATTTCAAATTAATCTCCTTTGCAATTTTAGTTTATTTGGGAAATTAAGTATCCCACGCCTATACAGAAAAGCACTTAGAATGGACACACTTAAGGGAAATGGCCGTGTATTTTTAGGAACAGCATATGATATTGTAAGACTTATCAGCACTGAAAACTAATGATATGAACTACAACAATGTTAAAAAAAAAAATCACCTGATTTTTTTTTTAAGTCATTACAGATAATCACAACCTTAATACATAAATTAAATATACACAAATTTTCAGTAGGAAAAAACCATACCACAAAACACTAAAGATTGTTCCACTTTCCCACAAAGGATAATCAGAAGGAAACTGGGAAGGGCAAGGGGCATGAAAGTACTAGAATTTAAACTTAGGATGACAAAAACTGACAATAAAGTTCCAATTTCTCTTGGAATGAGCGGTAACGTATATTAAGGTTGCTATACCTACAGACAATTACATGAAGAAAATAAGTACTTTACATTGCTGTGACCACTTCTGAATCCTGCTCTAGTAGGAGGTCATCTGGCTGACAAGTGAAAGTAATTACAACTGTTGCTCAAAAGTAAGTAATACAAGACTGTAAACTACACATCTTGCTTGTTTTGAAGCTGGTATAACAATCAAAATGACTGTTCTTAAATTAAACCTTAAATAATTGTTATCTTAAAAATACACGGCCAGTAACCTACTTGTGTTTCCTAAGGAAGAAGCAGAGAAATCCCTTATTAGAAAGCCGACCTGGTTTTGTCTTACTGTCTTTGACAGCAACAGAAATCATCTGGTTGACAGATGAAATGTTGCACATAAAACTTTATGAAAATGGAATTGGTGGCACTGAAGAAGTTGATTGGCAGCAGCATATGTGCTACTACAGGGAATGTGGCAAGGGAATAACTCAGAAAAACCCACCAGAAGTGCTGAACTGAAAAATCTATATAGATTTTTCAGATCCTAAATATTTTATTCCAGGGATGCCTTTTGCCGCCTTTGTGTTTTATTGGCAATGTATTTTTCTCGTTGCATTCAATACTGAAACACAATATTAAATGCTTGAATAGAAACACACTTTTTTCTGATTGTTATGCCACACAAAAAGATCTTAGAAATGGGAGAGGCCAGAAATAGTAAGGGACCAATCTCCTCACAAGCACGAGACCTCCCAAATTCCACTCTAGCAGCTGGCATTCCCATATGGTGCTCCTGTTGCAGATTAGAAATCACAGTAGAGACTGTGTGGTGCAACACATTCGTATTTGAGCTTTACAGCAAGGAGAATTTTCTTCCATGTATGCTTCTTCCCCAACAAGGCACATACAGACCAGTGAAAGAAGTATCACTACATTTCCCTGAATCTGTGGTTATTTGTGCCTGTAGAAGATAATAACCAATGTCCTTTTCGTTCACAGTTACCTATACATTCTATCACACATTTACTACTCAGGCAGTGACACAAAGAAACTTCCCTCAACATTGAGGCTTCCTCTTTCCCCAGCATGTTTTACAGACTTCATGACCGATAGCTAGTTTGAAGTCTTTATTTATGCACTTTCTATCCCAACATACGACAGGATTATACATTATTAGTTCCACAAATAAAGATAATAATCTCACACCAAATCATTAACTGGTTTCTTTCCCAGCCTTCCTCTACCTACCTGCTGCTTGAGCTGTTGCACAAGACGATCTTTCTCTCGTTTCAGTGCAGCCACTTCATCTTGGGTCTTCTTCTTAGAGGATGAAAGTTCTAGCAGAGCAATATTGGCATCTTTTTCACTAATGGCAGCAAGAAGGGCTTCTTGTCTGAAAAAAACATATGAATACGTTATTATCCTGCAAAACTTAGAGGAAGCCTCTACAAAGAGTTGAGCATACCATAAGTCCTGTAGCAGTGTGCAACTCCAAAGAGCAGTAATAAAAGTTTGTCATGGTTATATGTCTGTTGGTGGAGCAGGAAGTCAAGACCCACCCGCCTCCCCCTAAATGACTGTGCTGATACCAAATTATTGCTTATAGGATAAGAAAAACATATAATAATATGTTATTATTCTGCACTCAGCTTCTCAGTTTTTAATAACTACCATTTATTATTACTTTGGCTGAACATTTTCATTCTTTATAATGTTCTAAACATTTCCAGAAGAGATTTTGAGAATACATGCACAAATACTGGACTAATCATAAGACTTCTGTGTTAAATTATATTAGGTTATACTGCCTATTCATGCAGCTATTTTGGAAGGAAGGTGGCATGTGACAAGTTTATTGAAATCACTTGAACAATACAGTGTATTCCCAGAAGGAAATGATGACACAGACACTTTTGTGCTACACGACAGATGTTGAAATAGATGCCTTCAAGGATGCTTGAGCTATTCTTTGACTTTTCTTGTGAGTAACAAATATAATGAGCTTGTTGGATGCATGTCCTGCATAATTAAGACAAAGGTAGGCCTGCCCTCATCACAAACCCTTTGTAGCCTCGCAGAAATGGTGTACGCAAGAATGTTCTGTAGCAAGATCTTGAGGCTCAAGCACTATAATAACTAGATACAGAAACACAACCTTGCATACTCTTTCCCAATAGCAAAAAACTCTTACAAATAGAGTTCAGAAACATTTTACAGATACTGAGAAGTGAGGAGACAAAGACAATAGCCCTGATCATAAAACAGCAGTTCTCAAATGAACTCAAAGGATTGCTCTATGTTAGGGAAAACATCTATTTCTGTCCTTTGACCTTAATTCTCATCTTTAGCTGGTACGGCCAAATCAGGATGTGCAACAGGTCATAAAAGAAAACTTTGGCCGTATTGCCCAATAAGGGTGGCTTGTCCCACCTCTCATCACCTTGCAAAGAAGGAATAAAATGAGGTCCTAACCGTTTGTGGTGGTGTGGAAGATGGCATCATGCAGGAATGATGATGAAAAACAAACTCTGAGTACTACAGATTTCCTATCTACCTTTCATCTAAAAATTTAGTTGTAAATGCAGTTAAAGTAATAAAAATTTCAAATTCCCAAATAATCCAAATTTCTACCTGCTCTAGTTTATAAACAAAAGCATATTAATATTGCTAATTTCAGAGAATGATTTAAAAAAAATAATCAAATGTGTTAAAACTATTCTGCTAATCATGTCAATAGCAATTATTATGCTAATAACATTGCCATAATGCTGTCTTTTATTAAAGATGTAAGAAAAGTTATAGAAGCTTAATGTAAACTATTGCTTTTAATTCTACCAATATATCTTTCTGTTTGTTGTCAAGATCTTTTTTAATAAAGACCCACCACAATCTGGTGACTTAGGATCACACTGGCAAACTGTCGAGGGTGGCAGTGACACTAAATCTGCTTTTTCTAACTCACCTGTTACCACTCCTTGATTAGACTTTATTTCTAATAAAATAGCTTGCTCCTCTTCTTCCTGTATCTTCTTTCTAAACAACTTAAGTTAATCTTAGTTAGGAATTTGTAATTGTTTTGAACATATGCATCTAACATACTGAACTTTTAAAAAGGCTTGAAAGGGGAAAGGACTGGTACTACTGGAGTACAGAAATTTTCACCTGTTAAAATGCTGAAAACTACAAATTTTATGACCTTGGTGAGCATGAAAAGATGTATTTAATACTGTAATGTTTCTGAGGACGGAGAGTGAAATAGCTTCATTGGGTACTTCAGTGCTTAGATCAAGGGTGCAGGGAGATGCATACCTAAATATGTAGGATGTAGTCAGATAGCTTGCACTGGCTGCAGCTCAGCCGGACAAAGAACTTGCTCTCCTGGATACTTACTTAGTAATCCCTTCTCCAATGTGTAAGAATAACTGCATATACATTTGCTTCTTGACCTCGTTCTAAAAAGTCTGAACAATACAGTTTTGCCTCTTCAAAAAAACCCTCAACACATTATTTTAATAATATGGGACCAGGAAGCGACTACACGTGCAGTCCTGCTGACAGATCTGAGAAGACGGTAGCTTCTGAGAGGTAGCTCAGGGCTACTTTTTAACCCAGCTCGGCAGTAGCCAGCACAGCACTTTTGCCCGCAGAGTTATGTGAAAGGCACGCTGTCTCCACAGCCCCGGAGCAGAAACCGCCAGGTTCTACAGTTACTTCTCTTAGAGAGTTGTATGGGTGAGACACCGCATTTAAAAAGCTCTTGTTATTTTTGTTTTTTACAGGTGGAAAAAAATATACTGCTCTCACTTGAAAAGTGTGAAGTTTTGCTAAGACAATGGGTGAAAATTGACTCGACGAGAAGGACCATGACTGCTTTCAGATGAGTGATAGCGAGGATGGAAGAACAACTTTTTCTTACACATTACAGGTTTAGGTGAGAAGAGGGTGACTGATGTATGACCTGGCTTCTTTCTGATCCCAGTCAGTGACCGAGCTCTTAGAAATATCTATGCCAGCGAAAGCTTAAGGCCTCTACCATTGCACAGCACAAGAAACGAGAGCATAAAAAAACACTGCTAAGATGTGATCTCTGTTCATCCCCTCAGTCACTCCAATGATTGCTAGAGTTTTGCTGAAGCTACCCATACACAGAAGTTTGCTATTATCAGGATCTTGACTGAAGCCATATATCCTGTATCAAAAAATGTGAAAGAACCATGTATTTCAAGAGGAAAAGGTGCATTTCAACAGACAAAATTGTTCACCATCTGATGGCAGAATGGACTTACACAGTGGTCCTTCTGTGGGTGAAATTTATCTCTGGATTTATACAGGTGTTTCTTGTACACGCTAAGAGAGTAAGCTTGCTTTAAGCAGACTACCAGCATATCAAACATCTGACAGATCCAGTTTAGAGAGTACTTGGATCCTGCCTAGAAAAACTAGCACCTTAAATTGTTCCTTGTCTTTCAAGAGATGATACCACGAAGTTAGGAAATATTTTTAGACACTTTAGGATAATTGAAAGATACTCTAAACGCATTTATTCTATGAAGAAATAAAAATATTCTGATGACTTAATGGAGACAAAGAGTAGAAGAAAGGAAAAGGTGCACATCAGATTCCCAGTTGTAGTGTCAAGATTGTAGGTGTGGGAACAACCGATAATGGGCGCATTATTATTGCCACTTTGTTTCTGTTGCTTTTGCTTTATGGAAAAGTATCCAATTTTGGATGCCTGCCTGAAACATGAAAAATATCAATAGAGTGAAGTGACAGACCATGATGCATGACCTCTGCTTTTTTCTAGCTATCGGTATCCTGGGAAAGACAGGCTGGCTTGGAGCTCTGGTCATTTTCACTTTCTTTAGAGTAATCTGTTTTGATTCTAAAGAAACACTTATTCTTTTAATAGTAAACCCACAATCCTCGCTGATGATTCAGGACCAGAGCCAAGAATATCTCTGTAACAGTATCTATATAGCCATTACTCTGGTATGGAAATTGGAGGTGCCTCAAATAGCATGTAAAGCATACCTTCTGCAATCAAATCCTTTGTTGCCCATCTCTACTTCTTAAGTGAAAACTCCAGGACCAGGACAATGAGATATGGATAGCGGTCCGTTACTTATTTTTTGCTGAATAATCTTTGCCACCATGCCTTAGAAAAAAACATCCTACTGGCCAAAACTTCAGTGCTATATCATGTGTGAGACAGGGGTGCTGGTCAAGAAGTGGGGTGAAAGGCATCGTGGCTTTCTGACTGTTTTCTGGAACTGAAACAAGATGAAGTTTGAACCAAAGTAAGAAAAATATCCTGTGATGTGATACATGCCTTGTAGCTGTGTTTTTGAACTCTGCAAGCTAATGTATACTGTTTCATATGGGAGAAGTGCAGGTGTCACTGTCAGCTCTGCTGAAAGGAGACGTGTCTGTAATGGTGCGCTACTTTTCTCAACAGAGCTTGGAATTGCTAGAACGATTCTAAAAGACCACAAAAAGCAAGTATCACCAAGCAAACAACAAGGTTTGTGATTGAACAGCACTACAAAACTGACATGTTTCCCTTCTTGAAAGCTGTTATCCCCAGGGAGACCAGAAGAACATGCTGTAAGACAGGTGAGGTGGCAAGAAGGAGATAATGGGCTGCTGCGTGAATGGTGCTAGTAGCACATGAACAAACCTATCTGTCAGGAGTGCCGCAGTCAGTCGTAGAGGCTCAGCTTCGGTTTAGGTAACAGTCAGTGGTACAGGCTTAGCTTCTTCAGCAAACTGCGTGTCTTCAGTTCACAACATCGGAGGTCCTGAAATGTTCTAATAGGCAGGCAAAGCATGTACTTGCTGCACAACCCAAGACGGTTGATCTTTTAAAACATGAGCTAATGCCAAAGTCACTACATAAACACAGCTCACTTAAGTTAGTTCAGGTATTTCAGATAGTGGTAGTAGTGTAGCTGTGGCAACAGCAACTCAGCAGGGGGGAAACTGGCTATTTATCTCTCCATATGGGCAGGTTCTGTAGCCTGAACTGAACTGTACAGCAGCTCACAAAAGGTAAGCAGACTTTAAAAGACACTGAATATTACCAGGGAAAACCTGAAATGGCAACAGTGTAGAAAATCTAGTGAAAAGAGGTTTAGGATTAACTCTGAATTGAACAAAAAGAGGAGGATTCTTTTTTTTCTTCTATTTATGCTGAAGCCTTTCACTGAGTGTGGATCACGATCACCATGGAGTGGAGTGGTACCAAGACCAGTAGGTTCAATTCTTAAGAGGTAGTGGTGGATATAATCTGAAGATCAGTATCAACATTATTTGCTCTGTTTGCAGTCTTAAAAAAATAATGCAAAGAAAGATGGGTTTGCCTTTTTTAAAATAGATGACTACAGAAAGTTA